GACATATGACACGGACAAGAATTGGGACAACATGAGACAAACGATGCTTTTTTTTGTTCCACCAAAATAGGTGGAACAAGATGAGACAAGAATAAGACATAAACTAAAATATTACTAATCTACCATAGTTTGATATATAACATTAATATGGTATTTGTTTTAATGGTCATCACCTCTAATTTCGGCTGCCATCACCACCACCGACACCTCCTCTTCCACTACAACAACATCCTCCACCACCGACACCTCCTCTTCTACTACAACAACATCCTCCACCACCTCCACAACCACCGTCCACCAAGTCCATCGCAACCTCTACTATAGTCGTCAGTCGACCATGGACCACCACCACTACCGCCATTCACCACCTCCAACTCCTCCTCTACTACAACAATCTCCTTCGCCACCATCTATTGTCACCTTTACAACCACCATCAGCTACCGACCACTAGGGCTGTAAATGAACCGAATGTTCAGCGAACCGTTCGGCGGGAAGTTCGTTTGTGTTCGTTTATTTAATAAATGAACGAACATTAACAATTTTTTTTGTTCGTTTAGTTAAACGAACGAACATGAATAAGAGTCTCGTTCGTTCATTTATGTTCGTGAACGTTCGTTTATATTCGTTCAGTTATGTTCGTTTATATATTAAATTTAATATATAATCTTTTGTTTATATACTTTGAATTCAAATAATATTTATTTATGTTCGTTTAGTCCGTTCGTTCGTTTAACATGTTAACGAACGAACATAAACGAACACGAACATACCTGATTTCTAAACGAACGAACATGAACACAAAGATTTTCGTTCGTGTTCGTTCGTTTGTTCGGTTAAGTTAAACGAACGAACATGAACAAGCCTACGTTCGTGTTCATTCGGTTCGTTTACATGCCTACCGACCACCACCACACATTACCACCGCCACTACCACCGTTGGCCACCTCGAAATCCTCATATACCGCAACAACCTCCTCTATGACCTCCACAACCATCGTTGGCCACTTTCAACTCCTCCTCCACTACAACAACCTCCTCCGCACCATCTGCCACCACCATTCATTGCCATCTCACCTCCAACATAACCACCACTACAACTATATTTACTACATCAGCCACAACTACCTCCTCCACCGTTGTCAACCGCCAGCACCATCACAATCCACCATCTTCATGTCCTCTATAACAACCGTCGTCCACCAACCACCACTGCCTCTACCTCCATAACCACCACCCTATTGCCACTACTACTGTCGGCCACCACCACCTCCACCATAACCAAAACCACCTCCACCGCCACCACTGCTACCATTACTTATATCAAAAATTTCATTCAAATTTGATACCATTATATACGTATCTATTAATTTATATGAAAATTGTGTACACATATTTATAAATTAAATTTTGTAATTATGTACTTTATTTGTGTTAACTATAACTATTATATAACATTTTAAATAATCAAATAATTATTGGATGTAGCTTGTCTAGTTACCCTTTTGTTCTACTCTGTCATGTCCTATCCACTCATGTCTGCGTACCAAACGCTACCTAAATGTTTTTAAATACATGTGAGATTAGATGTACTTTCGCTCGTTAGGTTCAAAATAAGTTGAATGAACAAATCAGACGCAGGAATTATCGAAACACACTCTAGTACCTAACCCAAGTAATCTCGAACTCAAGTAACTCGTTAATTCTTTAACACTCTTAAGGGGATAAATGTAACGTGACCAAACTTCAATATATAAACAAGTGAAAAGCCAAAATGTCAAAAGACAAAAAGAGATGTTTACGTCTGTCCCTATTCAGACGATATGTAGTTATATCCTAATTTGAGGGTTGAAGATGATTCAATTAGAATAAATAAATAAATAAATTTGAAAATGAAGATAATGTTGATCAAAATATCCAATAGTAAAAAAAATTCAAAATGATAAAGATCCCACCAAAACCATGTGAGTGGAGCGTGCCCTGAGGCGCGTGACTGAAAGGGCGCGTGTGTTTTTTTAACTCAAATGAAGAGAGAGTCCCCACCCCATTTTTATTCATTCAACTCCCTCTCCTTCCCACCACACCACACCACACCACACCACACCTCTTCCTCTTCCTCTCTCACCTGTAGAAAGAGAAGAGTGACTTGGGAACTGCTTCAGTCAAGAGAAAACACTGGTTTAAACTAGGGTTTCTTCTACTTTCCTTTTCCCATTTTTCATTCCAATCAGTTGCAGACCACCACATTTCACTTCCATACAACTACAATTTTTCAGGTAAGTCCATGGATTTGTTGTGCTTTTTCTTCATTTCTCATATGTGTTCTGAAATTATTACAGTTTACAGTGTTCATATGCATTGCGAGTGTTCATAGGCTATTTTTTGCAGCTACATTTGCTTAAATCTGTTTCTTCCGAGAGTTCTCCATCTTTTCCCAACCGGGTGCTTTGAAATGTTGGGAGTTTGCTTTAGGTTTTTAACTCTTTATGTTTTGGTTTAGCTATTTTGTAGCAGCTTTTGTTTAGTTTTGATCACTACTGAATGGCTTAAAAATCTTCTGCTATTTCGTCCCATTTTAGCTAAACCCTTTATTTTTCAATCCAGATTATACAGCTTTCTGTTTCATAAAACTTCAATCTCTTAGCTAACTTCATAAATTTGTTCTTTTTAACCGTTTCCTTATCTGGGTATAAAATTTGCAATATGCTTTCGTTTTCTCGTTTTCCTTGCTGCTTGCTGCTGTTTGAACTCCAAAGATGAATGTGTGCGTCTCTCTCTGTTTGTATGTGTTTGCGTGCTTCAGAGTACCTGTTTGGTAGATCTAATTGCTTCCAAAAATTGAATTTATTCAACATCTCGGGAGCTTCTCCTCTACCGTTAAAATATATATTTTATTTATTATTTTAATATTTTCCTCTGTGAGTTTTAAGATGGCATTAAATCCACTATCATAAAAACTTGAATACAGCAGCTTCTTTGTCTTTAGAGAGACTTTCCAGTCAAGATTTATTTTGGGCTCATTTCCTATTATGTCTTGGTGTCAGTCTGTGAGTTTTATTGGATGTTGGGGATTCTTTGAACCATACAAAGTAAAGATTTTGATCAATAAATAAACTACACAGTATCTCCCTTGTCCAAAACGAAGCTCAAATCATTTAGTAAAAGATTTGTCTTGGATGCAGATTATTACGTTAATATGACCATATTTTACGAATTCCTGCAAGTATTAGGGAGTGTGGACAAAAATCCCACCATCGAAACTGAAAAAAGAATATGCTTCGATTTTAAAGATTGAATTAGCAAATCGATTTCTAATGGAACAAATTTGGACTTCTGTCTTTGTACTGGGGAATGGGAGTACCATATTTGGATCTATATGTGGCATTGAAGCTGCCATTGTTCTTTTTTTAATCAAATTCTATGTACTGTTAGGCTTAGGTTATTTGTCTTGATTTTGCACATCATACCTCAAGGGGAAAAAAAATCTTGTATTTAATAATCATGGTATTGACCACTAATGCTTTTGTTTTCTCATTGAATATTAGTGAGGGTTCAGATTGTAGAAAGCCACTTTATCATGTTGTTGAGGTAATAATGATTAATAATACTATTCATGTGTGTCCAAAGTTAGAGATATCCTTTGATTTTTATGGTCAAACTTGTCATTTGGCTAAACCCAAAATATTTCTATTTGATTTTCTAGTGCGTAATGAGTCTTTTAGTGTTTGATTTGTCAAAAACAGTTTCAATTCAAACAAAAATATCGATGGGTCTTTAAACCATTAGAAAATATTAAAATCTGAACACTTTGGAGCTACCAAAGTACAAATTTGTATGCTCATTTTTGAATTTGAGAAATGTTGGCTAGAATTTACAAGGTCAAAAGCTTGACGTTTTTTCGACATGGCGGTGTATATACGTTTTCATCTTAAAGATCGAACACTTTGCCGATTATTGATAATTCTATAGCTATCTTAAGTCTTAACCATGATGGATTTCAATCTTAACATTTCTTGTTTCTACAATGGAGTATATTAATACGAGGTTGTAAGCTATAACTATTTGTTCCACAAATTATAATGTACCAAGAATTACATTTGTCGGTAGTCCCTGTATAGAAAATGTATGTTGTAAAAGCATAATTTTGGTGACTGCCTATATGCTGTTTTTTCATTTAATTTATTTCATATGATGTTGTGTAATAATATGTTGTGAAAATACAGCAGAAGCACTCAAGAGTGAAACAGAAGTTAAAGGGAAAAAGGTTAAAGATGGTTTGGTCTAATGTTATTTGTCTTTCTTTTAATTGTTACATCTTTTTTCCTTATTACTCTTCCACTCAAAAGCAAGATTCAGTTCTTGATTTTGGAAATCCAACCTAGAAATTTCCAAATTCAAAGATTCTGTTTCCCAAGTCCTATATTTTTTTCTTTCATTTTTACAGCTTTACGTAGTTCTCAAGCTTTTTATTGAATCAAAACAATTACAGTTCATCATATCCGTTGTTAACAAGCATTTCCTTTCTCCATCTCCCCTTGTAAAAATATGACCATTATTCAATTGTCTTAAATAACCTTTGACAAGCCTTGTAGATCAAGATCAATACCAACTGCACTTTGCAACAGTGACAACAAAGAAAAAGTAGTATTAGCTTGAATACTTTCCAAGAAAAAGAAACATCACATTTTTCATGGGAAACTTGAAAGTTGAATATAAACTTGTTTTTGTGATGGGGGGTGAGTATTAATTTCCTTTGCTGTTGGGTTGGTTGGAAGTGGGGGTGGTTCTTATGGAATGTGGAGTTTCTTTGAAGGATTGTGTTGTTTGTTTAAACCTTCATTTTCTTGGTTTTTTTCTTCTATTTGACATTGATTAAAGTTAGGGTTTCCTTCATGCCATCATTCTGTTGTTGTCCTTTCACATATGTGTTGCATACATATATATATAAACAAATCTTTCTTTCTGACCCAAGCATTCCTCTGGAAACATTATAGGCATTGTGGGTCAACTGCTTTATTCAAGTGGGCCTTTTTAGAGGATTGCTTTTACTCAAGGGCAAATTAGACAATGCAAACTCCAAAGTCAAGGTATGAGCTCCTATCATCTTCTAATCTGACAACTATCATGGTCCAAGAATCATTTCTAGCTCGCAGTGCACTGGGAAACAAGTGTAATTTTATGAAGATTTGTAGCCGTAAAAATAGATCCAATCTTTAAAATAGCAAAAATGATGTTGATTTTGGATTTGAGATGGGTTCAAGGGCAATAACTCGAAATGTATGTTTGTTTCGAACTAGAGGTTATACTTGTTCCAGAGCAGCCCTGAAAAAGGGTTGGTCTTTTTTGATATGGACTCAACAATGAGATCCTGTTTCATGCCATCCACTTTCAGTTTGTTATAGATGAAACCCTTTTATTCATTTACATCTTTTTAAATGAATGGTCCTTGGTTTAATCTCTATGTGCTTTCTGATCTGTTTTGGAAAATTTTAAGCTAAAATTACCATTTCTCCCTGATCATTGTTGCAAATGGCTGATTTTATTATTAGTCCATTAGAGTATTTGCCTGACGGTACTGAAGGGTATTTTAGACATTTGACAAATAGACAATCACATACCAAGTCAAATGTTGCAATGGACAGAGGTGTTACAACCTGCAAGTTCCCTGTGATGCTGTGCTTAATCATAGGTTTCTTAGATACAGTTTTTCTATGTTGCCTAGCCAATATGGGATCTTGCTGTACTTCTGTTGATGGTTGTGTACGACGACTATAAATGGATATCTTAGAACCCAAATAGTTGTCTGAATTTGCTTCTAATTTAAGTGATCCTTATGTGTAAACCAAACTAACCAAGTAAATCTCACTCGGAGGTAGTTCTGGGGGTAGAATATGTCCATACCTTGCCTCTACCCCAAGAGATAGAGAGACTGATTCCATGAAGGTTATCCTTATATGGATATGAATGTGAAATATCCCATATATGTGTTCAGAAATATATTTAGTAATATGATTAAAGATTAGAGGCTGTTTAGTTATAGAGATTACAAGCTATCAACAGTATGAGATCTAAATCGGTATGTGATAAGAACAAATTTAGCTGTATTGTAGTTACGAATATGATCATGTCTGATTTGTATCTGATCACCGTATGTTACTCACCTGACTCTGGAAACACAGAGCTGGAACCTTGGAGGTGCCACATAGGTCACCGAAAACCGCCAGGCAGCTCAAAGCTTCAGGAGCAGAACCTGACAATTCTTCGTCTCAAAGTCCGGCGAACCGAACACCAAAAGCTAGAAGTCCAAAAGTTGCTGACCACCGGTCACCTCGTACTCCAACATCCGAGGTATAACAATACTAAGAGTCTTACATTTGACTTCTGAGTGTTTTACAAGTGTTTATGTGAAAATGCAGAAAAAACGTCCTGGCAGAGTGTCTGAATTGGAAACTCAGCTTGCTAATCTCCAAGAAGAACTTAAGAAAGCCAAGGACCAACTAAGCCAATCAGAATCATGGAAGAAACGGGCCAACGAGGATGCTGAAGAGGCCAAAAAACAACTTGCGGACATGACAGAAAAGCTCCAGGATTCGCAACAACAGCTAGACGAAATTTCGGCTTCTGAAGAATCCCGAGTTCAAGAACTCCGAAAGATCTCTCAGGACCGCGACAGGGCTTGGGAATCTGAACTCGAGGCTGTCCAGAAACACCACTCTATGGATTCTGCTGCCTTATCCTCTGCCATGAGTGAGATTCAGAAACTCAAGATTCAGCTCGAAAAGGTGGCAGAATCTGAAGCTGCTCAGGCTAAATATGCCGAATCAGCTCACAATGAGATGCTGACCTTAAGGCTAGAGCTATCTGAAACTCTTGCTATAGTTGAAGAACTCAAAAACCAATTGAATGACAGCAAAGATTCTGAAGCTAGAGCTTTGGAAGCTGTTAGTCGAACCCAAGAACAACTGGAAATCATAAAGTCAACAGAGGAGACACTCAGGTCTGAAAATCTGAAAGCCATGGAAGCTTATCATTCTTTAACGGTGGAGTTGGAGAATTCAAAAGCTCAAGTGAATTCGTTGGAAGGATTCGTCAGCAAACTTCAGGAGAATCCAGCAGGGGATGTCGATGGTCAAGAAGAGCTTAACAGTGTGAAATCTGAGGTGGAAAAGTTACAGGGGGCACTGGAGGGAGCTGAAAAAAGATATCAAGAGGAGTATATTCAAAGCACTTTGCAGATTCGAAGTGCTTATGAGCTTGTGGAACAAACACGATCCGAATCATGCCAAAAAGTTGCAATCTTAGAGGCAAATTTGGAAAAATCAATAGCCGAAATGGAAGACTTGAGGGCGAAACTGGTGGAGAAAGAAGCCAAACTGCAAAACACATCCGAGGAAAACAAGAAATTGAATGAAAAGCTTGAGAAAACCGAATTAACAGAGAAAGACACTGAGCATGTCATGGAAGTAAAGAGATTGGATGCTGATTTGGTGGATCTGAAGAGGGTCATGTTGGATAAAGAAACAGAGTTGAAGAAGATAACGGAGGAGAAGGAAAGACTGATGATGGAGAAGAATGAGATGAAGGATGAAGCTGTTGAAGCTGCGAAAATTGCTGAGAGAGAAGCAGTTACAAAAGTGGAGTATTTGACAGAGGAGGCAGATAAAAGTAGTAGAAAAGTAGCGAGGGTAACAGAGCAATTGGAATTAGCTCAGGCGGCAAACGCAGAAATGGAAGCTGAGATGAGGAGATTGAAAGTGCAGTCGGACCAATGGAGGAAAGCGGCAGAGGCGGCTGCCGCCATGCTTTCTGGTGGTAATAATGGGAAGTTTGTGGAGCGAACAGGTTCACTGGACTCCCACACCATTGGTGGGAAGTTGAATTCACCATTTTCGGAGGACATGGAAGATGAATCACCCAAGAAGAAGAATGGCAACATGTTGAAGAAAATTGGGGTTTTATTGAAGAAGAGCCAGAAGTAACTCTCAGATACACATTTAGCAGGTAAATTTGCTTAATTCTTGATCAAAATCTTGAATTGTTTTGGTGGGTGTGTTCTAAAGATGTGGTCTTTGTTGGGTGATCAGGTTTGTTACTGGAGCTGAATGAAGTTGTTAGGGTTTTAGGTTTTATTATGTTTTGGGGAGGATGGAGTTGCAGGCAGGCAGGCTTGCTTCTTTTATGTATAGTGAAGTTGAATTGTAATGGGGGTTTGACTTTGACTCTTGAGAGTATGATTTTGACCTGCCGTATGTCGTGTGGTGATGATGGAGAATGCAAGTGTTTGTAATAATATTTTTAGTTAAAACGCAACATTTAACGTCTTTTCATCGCCATTTCTGATTTATCAAGAGCATCATTACCGCTTTTGCAAGGCTTGTTATGATTTGGAAAAGGGTTATTGCATCCAAGAAATTGTTTCAAAGATTTGAGAATCTTAATTACGTTTATCCATGGTGTTCCTGTTAGTTTGGTTTTTCTTATTTAAATTTTTGTGGTTACAAGGGAATTTTTATTCATCATTTAATTTGAACCTGACATTTCAGACACTTTTAACTTTTGGAGTCCAAGCTCAAATCAATCTCACACCACACCACTCTTGTAGTTGGTGTTCCTGTTAGTTTGTGTACATTTTGATTAATTCTAAAAGAAGGTTAAACTGCTTCTTAGGATTTTGTAATTGTTGATTAAATTATTTAACGCAAGTGATTGATTTATTTATATTTAAATCCATCATTAAAATTATATACTTGATATCAGTGTGATCTTATAAATATACCATTAATTATTTTGTTATTCAAATATTTACTTTCAAAAAATATAATAACCAAATTATTCAAACTAATATACATGGGATGGGAATGGGATTATTATTCAAACTAATATACATGGGATGAGATCAGTTTCAATTTCAAACACGAGAGAGAGAATAAGCTTATAAGAACTTGAGAAGTATTGTAGACAAATTTGATAGGCCCAAAAGCGAACATAACAAATGCCCAAAAGCCGAAACAGCCCATTCCCTTGATATAAAACTCCAAAATCGCCGTTCCTTTTTGTAGCCAGCATTAGGGTTTTTACTCGGAAGGTTACAGCTTCATCAGGGCAAACATGGGGTACGTATCGTATTCATGGATCTAACCTATCCTCTTCTACACTTATAACTACGTGTTCAGATTTGTATCTCTGGGGTTTATGTATCTTATCTTGTGGTTGATTTATACATTTGTTCATAGACTATATATTTTTGGTTGATCTACCGTTTTCATGAGGAAGTATAAATGTGATATGAAGTAACCTTGAAAAATAGGTTCGTAAGTATTTCTTTTATTGTTCTTTTTGTTGAATTTTAGAATTGGGATTTTGATATCACAACGCTTATCGATATGAATCAACACTATCATTTATTTTGATGCTTAAGAATTTAGTACTTCAAAACATATCGAATACAACAATTTACTCGGTAAGAGTTGTCATCCTCACTTACCGGGTAAGAATCTCCATTCCTCATTGGTAAGACTCTTGGTCCTTCTCATCCTCATCCGATGAGGAAATTTATCCGGTAAGCACTTTCCAAGTAAGTGTTTAGTAAATGACCCCTAACTCGCAAGTGTCAAGTGTATTTTATATAATTATTGGGAATGGTATGCTAGTCATTATGATTTTTGTGAGTGTAACGGTCTATATGACTCATGCTTATGTTAGAATGTTAAAAAGCCACAAACGTTAAATGAAGTTGATATCAACCATTTATGTGTATGACACTTGATGTTGGCTCTGTTTTCCATAGAATTTGGCCATACCTATGGAATTTATCTTTCTGCTCCATCATCTTTGTGGTGGTAACCTATTCAGGATGATGACATGGTCATGAAGTAATTTGAAAAAAAATAGTCTAGATTTTCAAACTCATACATGGGATATATGCTGTTTGGCTTCATTTGTGGTTTTGGCTTCTCTACAATTGATTTAGGCATTTAGCAGCAAAATTTGACATTAAACTCATTAGTAATGGGAATAAATAGGAAAAAGATTTGGCAGTTTTAATTAGAAAAATGGTATACAAACAGCTTATGAGTTGATAGTAGTGTTTGATCTGGAGTATTCACCTTCTGATTTATTGGATACCATGTCAATTTTGTTGTGAGTTTCTTGAAGATATGTTTGGTTTTCTAGCAGTCGCTTATTTTGTTATGTGCATGACTGCATTACTGCAGGAAGACTCATGGAATGGGAGCTGGTCGCAAGCTGAAGTCCCACCGCAGGAGGCAAAGGTGGGCGGACAAGTCATACAAGAAGTCTCACCTGGGTAACGAATGGAAGAAGCCATTTGCTGGTTCTTCACATGCAAAAGGCATTGTTTTGGAGAAGATGTAAGCACTCACTACTTCCTCCTCTAGTTTACACCTGATCAATCTAATCTTTGATTTTTAATATGATGGATATCTCAACAGTGGTATTGAGGCCAAACAGCCTAACTCCGCTATCAGAAAGTGTGCAAGAGTTCAACTAATTAAGAACGGAAAGAAGATTGCAGCCTTTGTTCCCAATGATGGTTGCTTAAACTACATCGAAGAAAATGTCGGTAGTTTGTATGCTGTCTTTGTGGTTCTTAGCTTTCTTTCTATGTGTACCTGACCATGATTTGAACTCATTTCTTGCACAGGACGAGGTGTTGATTGCAGGATTCGGACGGAAGGGGCATGCTGTCGGAGATATTCCCGGAGTCAGATTCAAAGTTGTCAAGGTTTCGGGTGTCTCTCTTTTGGCTCTTTTCAAGGAGAAGAAAGAGAAGCCAAGATCTTAAGTCTAGCATCCTTAGTTATTTATCTCGTCTTTCAAGCCTTAAAAAGACTTAAAATGTTACCGTTTTCGCTTTAATGAGATTTCCAAACCACCCATATTCATCTTTCTTGTGGTTTTCACGTTTATGTATGCTTGTGGCTGTGTGTTTTTGCTGCTTTTTTCCCGTGGCAAAGAAACACAGATCTTGTCTATGCTGGTCATCGGTGGTGATAGAAAATGGACCATGCTGTAAGCGGTGAAATAACTTAGGATTTAGAAACGGTAAAACCTTGGTAATGATACAAGTAACTTCTTAGGTTAAAATAAAGTAAGCAACAAATTTCAAATATTTTTGATTATTTATTTATCAAGAAAATATTCAAGAATTTAATTATTTAAAATAAGAAAATTTAATGTTTTATTTTCAATTTTCATCAGGGGTAACAGATGAGGGACTAAATCGTTAAATTGTTTTATTGGAAGGAGTGGTATTGGCTAATTTAAATATAAAGGGAGAAAAAACTTATAGTTGTCTAATACTTGAGGACTATTTATGTAAGTTACTCCATATGAAATAACGGTCTTAATTTTCCGCCAATGGACCTCCGTAATCAGAAGTTTCCACTCGACGCCTTCGATTTGATCTTCAATCTGATAAACAATCGGGGCGTTTTCTTCATCATTCGGATCAAGACTAGGGTGCCAATGCTCCGGCCTTTGAAATGAAAGAAAATGATGGGAAAGGTCGGGGTGTGAAAGCATCAAGCGTCATCCATGATCACGTAATCGCTGTTTCCTCTTCTTCTGCACTCAATCACGATTCACCTGTTATAACCTACATTCGGGTTTCAGCTTATTCTTGCTATTCTAATTCCTTGATTTTAATTCCTTATTACTTGATTATTTCCTTTGTGTTCTAGCAATTGTGATTATATTTTGATTAGGAATTAACAGCTTCTTCAATGTAGTCGTCCTTTGATTTCACCTAATTTTTACTTTCAGTAGAAGGAGGTTTTCAACTTCAATATTGATATGGATTTTTAAACCTTTTCTTAAAATACCTGCCCCATTAGAATTTGTAATAATCATCAGGTAGAGAGACTAATCTTGGTTAAAACTTGCCATAAAATCTGTCACATTGTATTAATTCGAATAAATATTGAATTTTAAGACCAAAGCCAAAATCTAGGGCATCTTTTATTTCAAAGAAGGAGGATGTAAGGGACCATGAAGTTCTGAAGTCCAGACTGTTCAATTAATCAAGCCAAATCCCTAGGCAGCCATTGAACAGTGGAACTTTCTTGAGCTCATAACATATTGGTTGATCTCATTAATGTAGCCTTTTAGATTGTGCTCTCCTTTCCGTATTAAGGAATGTGATAATGAGTTGCATGCGCCAGTTGAATGTCTTTGCGTTACTTGGGTTCTATATTGTAATTATATCGATTGTTTCAATGTTCACCATAATTATGAGAATGATGGAAAAGACATAAAGTTGCTATGAGTTGCCTAAGGTTCACAAGGAATTTGACAGTTTTTGAGTTATATTGCAGTATATAAAAAGTACATCAAGTATATGGACTAAATAAGTTTCATGTGTATTTATTAGGAACCTTCACTTTGTTATTTTTGTATTTTAGTTGGTTAGTTATTTGGTTGTTAAGTTAGTTAGCAAGAATGTGTAAATACACAAGCGATACAGTTCATTCGAACTTAATTTAGTAATCTATTTTAGTATGTGATTGAGCTTGATCTCGGGGTATGTTGGGACCTATGAAATTGTTTGTGGTTTGTGCGGTGAGCTATACAACCATTATAGGAGCATGATTAAAGAAGATGGAAAAAGTGGAGCTCCTGTTAGCTGTGTGTATGATTCATAATCAGTAGCTCAAGAACTGTATTACACATTATTTGCAGATGATACCAAGTACAAGGATTGTTTGTTTCATATTTATTTAATAGGGACCTAAATCTGACATCTGTTGTTTTTCTGTTTTGATTAGTTAGTTCGTAACAAGGTAGAAATATGCAATCTATGTTAACTGTTAGGATTTTTAGTTCAAAAACTAAATTCTCTCCAATATATGTTTCTTTTTCTCGTACACATTCAAGGAAAAATATAAATTTTCGGGATTTTTATCCAAAGGTCAATTCAAAATTGAAAACTTGGATTAGCTAAAAGGGCTTGGTTGAGTGAATTCCTGAACGGGTCACCGTACTATATAGGTAAAATATATTTTCTTATATGGAGTTGAAATAACTCACAACGCTTTTGTAATCCAATAACCAACTAACCCCATCCCTCTCTTTCCTTTTTACGTCCCCATGCCCTCACATTATAAAGATGTTCGAAGCTTTTCAGTGCTAAGAGTTGTGAGTTAACTGTATTATTACTTCGCAATATTTGTAAGATGGGTTTCAAGTATCTTATAGGAGGGAAAATGGTAGTTAATCAGGAAGACAACCATGCTTTCAAAAAATAGCATGTGTAAATAATGTGGCAAGTTTGTTTTAGTTTATATATCTATATGCTTTTTTTTTTTACTTTGGCAGTTGGAATACTAAGTTCTTAAGATGGAGACTGGTATTGAAATTAAGAATGCTGATTCTGTCGTTTACTTTATGACAGATGGAATACGGATTCTTAAGATGAAGAGTGATACTGGAATAAGGAATGCTGATTAACTTTTTATCACGTTTGGATTTATTGCATATGAGGTTGTAACGTTTTTTGGCATCTAATGGAAGCTAGTTGGTTGCTTTTGTTCCTAAGTTATTGGTTAAATCTATTCACAGCTATCATTCAAGTCCCTTCTTTGATTGATCATATAAACATCCACAATTCCATACTTTCTAGCAGTAACTTATTAGACGTTTTGTTGACCATATACCTTATTGGACCTCTATTTGTGCCTTCCAGTCCAGGGTTATTAAAATGTGGATTATTTTATTCATGACATATGTGGGGAATCATGTCCCTAATTAAGTGTAATTGCAGGACTTCCAGGACCTGGACCGAGTATTGAGTTAGCAGGAGCAGTTGATACTGATAAAACAGTAGACATGGCTAGCAGCAGTAAACAGACTGGACTAAGGCCTCAACTGTTTGAAACATCAGAACGGAAAGGGTCAAAAGAAGATGTCAAAATTGAAATGTGCAGAAATTTATCGTGGCATAGAGCCTTTTTCACCAACGATGGTGTGCTATAATTCTAGAAACTGTGTTTTTCATTTTTATGGTATCAGTGCTTTCCTTCTGTCTCCTGCACTTCTTTGTTTTACCCAGGTCTTCTTGATGCTGAGGAGTTGGCAAGCATGACTGAAGGAGATGGGAGGGATGTTAAACACCAGTTACAAGGAATTGAAGAGAAATTATGCAGGTCAATGGATTCAATCTCGACATTAGGAAGTGATAAAACTCTGGAGGCTAAATTGTTCGAAAAGATGGAAGCTTCAATACAAAAATCCAGCGGATCATCTAAGCTAACTAATTCAAGCATCAAGCGGTCATCAGGAGAGGGAGATTCAAAAGCAAAACCTAGCCGCTGTGAGTATATTCTTTATGTTAAACATCTTTCTGCTCATATTTTCTATCATGACTTGCATTAATGACGATTTAAGGTTCACGGCGGCATATACAAGCGTGTAAACAAGACCCAGAAACTTTTCTTAATGCTCAACCTTGAATCTTCATCTATCTCAAGTCAGTCTAAATTACACCAATTTGTTACTGTATTCTTTTTGCATGTTCGCACACTTTTTTCTCATGCATGCCGGTTTCTTCCCAAAAAAGATTTCGCAAGCCAGGGGGTCTACATGGAAACCCCCTCTCTACCCCTTATATAGAGGAAATGTTAACGGACATCTCCGCCCCTCGCAAAAAAAAACGCGCACGTACAAGAGACCCTACTTTTGAGTAAGATATAGATATACTGGTACCTGTGGTTTGGTTTATCTTTTCTCGTTGGACATGTCACAATAACAATGATGTTTTGTTCATGTGGAACCAGACGTCATACTTACATGCTTGCAAAATTATGATCATGGTATTTTAAAACGAGCCGTTGGTAACAAAAAGATGCATTTTTACCTTACAGTTTCTCCCATCCAAAATAAATAATCTTCCCTATTAAATCTTATTAATGTTTACTTTGACCCGCATGCGGCAGTTAGCCCGAAAGGAACCAAAGCAGCAACGACACAAGCATCAAAGGTAACTGGGCCTGACAGGGGTGCGCCGATTTCGTTATCTCCTTTGGGTTCTTCAACACCAATCAAAACAGAAGCAACAAGATCATCTCCTTTAGGTGGTGCTACTTCTGGCACTTCGAAAGGGGACAATGTTAAATCCTCAGCAAGAAGAAGCACTAGTTCCAAAACTGGTAAAGCTACAGCTGATTCAACCTCCAAAACACCTCCAGGGATCCGCGCTAAGAATAAAGTATCTCAACTCCTGCCTTCTAAACTTTCTCCAAGAACATCACCTACTAATTCAGGATCGTCATCGTCAACCTCTGATGTCAATCAAAGGTCATCGCGGGGTAGTAGTGCTTCTTGTAGATCCTTTGTGAACAATGAGAAATCCTCAGCAACCAATGCAAGAAGAAAGGATGAGCAGAGCATTGGTAAAACACCATCGAGCATCAGCTTCAAGAATAAACCACCACCAGTTAATTCTTCATCACCTTTGGGGTTATCCAACTCTTCTCCAAGTAAATCACCTGCTAGTTTCATTAGTCAACGACCGTCAGAATCATCATCGTCAATCTCTACAGTTGATCAAAGTTCGAGATCAAGGGGTAGTAGAGGTACCAGTGTTCATAACAGACCCTTAAACCGTGATGCCTCTGCCAAATCAACTTTGAAAAACCATCCCACTCCAGACCGGAGAGGAAAACAGCCAGCAGCCTTGCATCCACAAACTGGCTCAATCTCTCAACCTCATGTTCAATCGATGGGAGGTGGAATACCTTCAACTAAGAGTGGGTTCATTAATGAGGTGAGTCCCTTTTTATATTTATCATTTCTTATTGTAATTTGGATTTTTAGAACATCTTTCTATTTTACTAGTTGTTACCATTTTAATTTATTAGTGTTGGTGACTTTAGTTCAAAAGAACGATGCTTTAGGCTTCTCAATTTCGGACGATGTAACTTTTATGGGACAAAGGAATAACTTCTCTTTTCTTTTTCTTGGTCATATACTAGTTGTGTAATCCACTATTGATTTCAAAAGATCATGAAAGTGTGGTGATTATCTTCTCATACAGGGAAGGTCGTACAAATCTTGCTTACTGACTGGCTTGCGTGAAAATGATGGTACACAGAGCAAAAATGGGAGCTCAAATGTTGCAAAATCGACAAAGGTTCCACCACCAAGAACAGTTGCAGCAGCTCATACAGGTTTGAAATCAAATTCCCAAAAAACTAGGACGACTCCTCCTAATCCCTCCTCTCAAAAACAACAATCAAGTGGTAAAGCAAAAGCCTCGATCACCAGCGCTTCAAGAGCTGTAAAAACTCTTGTTTTAACGTCACCTGAAGTTCTGGATATAAAAGGTAAGCTAAATGCCCTGAGGATGGAAATCAGTAATCAAAAGCAAGACAAATATAAGGACATCAAAATGGCTCCTGCTGGAAGTGGTAAAGGTAAATCAACTCATCAGCAAAATTGACATGAATGATCAAATTCCAAGAATGGTTACGACTAATGGTAGTCACAAATATTGCTGTCAAGTGCAGTGATCCTAAGCAATGTTCTAACTAATACTTTCTTCATGTCCATGTAAAGATGTTCGATAAGACCATGACGAGTAATTTGAGGACTCCATTTGGTGTCAAGAATGCAGTCTATGATGCCAAATATCTAATCTGGGAATAGAGGTAAGTGAACAGACTGCTAACTTGGCTTCTTTGTGAAACAGGTTAGCGTTCATTCGGAGAGTCGAGTTGTTTATATGTGACATCAGAGCACCTGAAGCTTGTAATATAGAAACTATTGTATTATTTGGTGGATTCAAGAGTTCTAGTTTTACTTGGGTCCAAAACTTTCTCTAAGATGATGAGTTTTAAAATGGTGACTTCATGTGTAGGTTGGAAATTTAAGGTGGGCAGAATGAAGCTCACAGAACTGGAAATAAATCACAGTGAATTTGGTTCAAAACAGATTTAGAGGCCGGTCAAGCGCTTATCATCAAGAGTCACAATCCTCATTTACTTATTGGGTAACATATTTGGCCATCAAAATGAATTGTTGGTTTTACCCGGTAGGTGCTAATCTAGTAGAGTCTTCTCGCTCAATTATCGGGTTAAATATTTGGTTCTTGTTATGCTTCTTACCGCGTAAGATTCTCGGTCCTTGTCATGTTCACTTCGTAAGCATAGGCGAACCTACCCTTTGGGGTATGGTTTCCCGTAAAACCATAAAAATGTAGGGTCTAAGTGTAAATTTTTTAAGGTATATAAACATGAAATCATAAGTTTTTTTGGGGTAAAACCATAAGATCTTATGGTTTGAAACAATAAACATTAAAATCTTTAAGGAGTTTAAATGAAAAAGTAAGAATTAAACCTATGCCAAAGTTGTGGATGGTGGTTGGAAATCAGTTAGGCTTTTAACCCTTCAAATACTTTAGTGGTTTTAATTTACTTCCTTTACTTTTTCATATATTCGACCCTTATCATATTAATTATTAGCTAAAATACATTAAAAATATGTATTTTTTGTTTACAAATTGCACCGATAGAAAGGTCTCGTCGATACAATATTGTTATTCATAATGATGCTAGGAACACGATGTATATTCATAATAAAATTTTCCTACCCTGCGCCTGTAGTAGATGCACAAATGTGATTTGTGACACCCATCCACATACACATGACGTAGATGCAAATGGACCGGGTCCTGAAAACCCACTCTAATTGCAGGGATGTAAATGAGTTAGAGCTCAATGCCCGTTTATAAGCTTGAACTTGTGATTGATTAACTCGTGTATCAATTTGAGCTCAATAATTTTTATATTTTTATTGTATTAATTATGAACAATGAGCATGCTTGGCTGGAAAAGTGTATGCTTGAATGTCTCGGCTCGACTAGAAAAATGAAATCGAGTTTCCAAACGAGCGAGGTTATTAACATTTATGTTATGAAGTTCGGCTTGTTAAGTTAAATGAGTGTGTTCGAGATCAACTCGAGCTTGAGTAAGTCATTAAAAGCTCAAATCGTTTACATCTCTAATCTTGCAGTCGCGAACTAGAACTGATTCGGTCCTTCACACCTGTTTCGAGTCTTGTCGGGGTCCTTTCATATAATTTTTTTTTCTAATTATAATTGTGTTAAGTTTTTAAGTACATTGTTTAATAAAAACTAGTATATGCTAAAAAAAATAAATTTGTAAATACAATGTTGTAATAAGAAAGTCACATCACTATAATACATGTGGACAGCCTACATGGACAATGAGGTGGCATGAAAACATGATATAACGGGTAAATTTAAATCAAAAGGTTACCCAATGTCATAATGAATAAATTTTTCAAAGTACAATGTTCTAATAAAAAATAGTTTGAAAGTACATTGTTGTAATAAGAAAAACTGAAAGTATAATGCTATAATAAATAAATTTACGAAAGTAGATTGCTATTTTATGCATTTTACTCTTACAAAAACACTTTTATATGTTACTTGAAAGTACTAAATAGTGTTTAGAACTTTAAATTATAAAAATATAAATTCAGTTTTAAAAATTGTTCATTTGGTATTCCATATATCACATTTGTTAATCTGACGATTATTTAATTTTCAAATCTACAAATCGGTCATTCTTCGTTTTTCAAAGTCATTATTTCCACTTCTTGCAAATCTTTTAGTATATTTATTTATTTTCGGTCTCGTCTTCCTCATCTTCCGGAATATTTGATGTGTCATTATCGATGATGGTGTTTAGTGCGGTGAATTAGCTTCGTAATTCTTCCGAGATATCATGTTCAATGTCGAAGAGACCATTTTTCAGTGATGGTTTATATTGAATTATCGTATTCCTATCGTAGTACATCTTCAAGCGTACACAAAGATCCATTAGTTAAACCACAAGGGTGGTGCTTAATTAGTTTGAACTTGACTCCAAAGGTCAAAAGTGTCAGGAGGTCCCAGGTTCAAATCTAAAGAGGAACAAAAATCTCCTTGTAGCCACGGAGGTTCAAATGCGGTGACTCTGGGCTACGTGCAAAACAGGTGATCGTCCTAAGATTAGTTGGCTCACATAGTGGGTTGGATATCCAGGTTAATAAAAATAAAAAAAAAACCATTAGTTGTGTCTAAAACGTGACCTCTGAAGCTGTCGTACTATCTTGGATAGTTAGTTAATCATGGATCATGCGACACGCAATCATGATGGAATTTTGCAATTGTTTTTCCTTCCACGTTTATAAGATATCAAATTCTCAAAATTGGTCTTCACTCACATAAGAAAATAGTTTATGACCCACATCTCAACTGGATTTAACAGGTTTGATCTTGGTCCCGCTAGTATCAGCCGTGGGCCAAAAATATGCCCCACACATTAGTGTCCTTGAAGGCAGGTTCCGTGTGAAGCTTATTGGGATTGCCAGTAATATCAAGGACCAAACCTTATGTATGTAACTAATTACGGTCTAGTTCGGTTCCGTCACACCGGACCGATTTTTGTCCGCTACTAGCAAAATGCATACTTTATAACAGTACAATTTAGTATACAGCGAACCAAAACCGATTTCCAACTTGTGAGGTTAAACCCGAAAACTGCAAACTCAAATGTTCGTTAACCAAGCAGACCTCTATAGTAAATGCTACAAAGAATCGAAGACGAGCTTCCAGAAAGTCAAAAGCCAACTACTTAAAATGAATCACATACCAAAACAAGATCTCTAGTTTGCACATTGCGATTCTGCCAATAAACCCGCTCGAATTAAGGGGCCGGGTTGGAAGAAAAAGAATCTGCATTAAGACCATAAAGATTTGCATGCATTTCACACGAGCATACGCAATGCACATAATGTAAACAGCATTTGCACATTAGGACGACAGTAACGGATTCAATTTAGAGAAACATGATGTTTATTTTTGCAAACCGAAAAGGTCAAAAACCAAGCAGTGCCAAACAAACTCTATAAGCCAAGCAAAATTGGCATAAAAAAACATAAGCCTGCTCAAAGTTAAAAGTCATATATATGATTACCAATAAAGCTGATCTTACTTCAGTACCTATATTGGGCTCGTCTAATTTTCCAACCGCATCGTTTTTTGTTGATTTCACGCCCTTTTGTTTGCCTGTCTGCCAGCTGTAGGTGTTCTCCGGAGTTTTGGTGAGTAGTCAAGGCAGTAACTGAGGAGAGCCGGCCCAAAGATGCTGAACTTCCCAGAACTGCTGAATGCGGTTTCTGCATCACCCCGCCTCTCAAACACCACTTTCACACAGTTCTTCGTCTTAATCAATTTTGTCTCCAGTTCTCTTAGAGGTCCATAGCGGCCAAATATCTGATTCAGATTCCGTACCGATGGAACAGAATCCAAACTTGAAAACTTGAGGATTAACGCAGTTGCAGAGCTCTCCTGGTTGGGGTTTGGTCTAGAATCAACTATCAAAGACTTAGAGTCAGAAGAGACTTGCTCATCAGGAATGACTTCAATGATCCTGTCTGTCCAGTAAGAGTCTTTAACGCCTGTAAATCCAGCCACCTCGGTAGCTTCAGATTGCTGTACAATTTCCACAATTTGGTCCACATCATTCTTGTCTTCTCCCAGTAGGGGGTTCATTTCCAGGCGATAATTCCTAAAATCAGATGAAAATCTGGCCAACAACATGAGGTTATGCTGTCCTTCCATTGGGTTTCTGGCAGCGAGACAGATCTGTGAAAGAAATTCATCTGCAGTTTGGATTTGAATCCCCTCACTAGTGCCTTTAGATGTAATACCTTTCCATTTTCTGCCAGCCTTTCCAGTTTTAGACTTCCCATCGGACACAATAGGGTTCCCATTTGACATCAAATCTGACATGCATCTCACTTTCTTGCTTGGGTGCAAACCACCATCAAACACGGGTTTGCTCTTTCGTAGAACACTGCCACGACCATTCAACTTTCTTTTTTTAGTTACTCTCCCAGTTGGTATTTCAACGTCAACCACCTTTCCTTCCCTCATTGAACCAATCCCAGGATTATCGTCATCAAACTCACTATCCAAACCATCTAAAACTTCGTTTGGATGAAGCTGATGGTAACCTTTCCAACTGTTAAACGCCGATAACTGAGCTTTTGTGGTTGAAACCTCCAATCTAGTCGTTCCAAATGGATTCTTAGCCAAATCTAGAACATTCTGAATGACGTTGGCAGGTTTGAAAGACGCCACAGTTGAAACCACCTTTTCTTCCCTCGTTGAATCAATCCCAGAATTATAGTCATCAAACTCACCATCCAAACCGTCTAAAAGTTGGTTTGGATGAAGCTGATGGTAGCCTTTCCAACGGTTAAATGCCGATAACTGAGCTTTCACGGTTGAAACCTCCAATTTACTCATTCCAAATGGATTCATAGCTAAATCTAGAACATTCTGAATGGCATTGGCAGGTTTGAAAGAAGCCACAGTCGAAAATCTATCCCCACCATCTATTCTACTGGATTCTTTCCTAATCCCAGCATTAACAACAATCTGTGACTTAACTTTACTGTAAACTTCTTCAGAAACACACAAACACAACAGCCCCAACTCCACACGTCTACCAGCCTCATGCAAAGCCTGATCCACAGCACGGCAGAAAGCTTCAGCATTGCTTTGAATCACCATTTTATAGAAACTTATACGGAAGGGCTTAATATGGAATGATTCATTCCAAGCAAACGTCTTGTCCCCAAAATACGCTATGAGAAAACCATCTTTCTTGAAATATTTCCTTGCCTCATCCGTTGAAGCCGATGGATCAAGAATCTGACCAGGCCACCAAGGATGGCTCTTCACCTTCCCCCAAACTAAATCCAACACCCCATATTCACCTTCCTTTTCAGTTAATTCAACATCATTAGCCTGTTTCTCATTGGCACCCAAACCAGCATTCATTTTGGTCCAATTATGATCAAATCCTTTTCTAGAACTACGATTTAAATCAACAACAAGATCTATTGCATGGAACTCATCTACTTTAGATACAGGTCTATCTAATCCCAATTCCACTAAATTTTCCCCAATCTTTTCATCATCGACATTACTCACTGATCCTGAAACTTCATCATTCAAGCGCACATCAATTCCCCCATCCTCAAGAACACTCGAAATTCCCTCATCAGACTTCACGGCAACCCCCTTTCCATCCCCAGAAACCCTAGCATCACCAACTAAACCGAAGCCCACAACACCACCCTCATGACGATCAGAAGACGATTCCATCATTAGGGTTTCAATCTTCGATGATCCTAACAAACAACCACACTATCAATAACCAAGTTCGTCGATATCAACACACAATCCCTAAAACACATAGCATCAACAATAAAACGAAAAATCAAGAACCAAAACACGCAAAGCAAAGGTAATTCAAGAACAGTGCGTAGTGTATCGGATGAACACATAAGAATGACAATCAAGAAAGAAGACAGAAAGAACAGACATACCTGCTGCGAATCAATGTCGCAAAATCTCTGTAGCGAGAAGCGGCAGAGTAGGAGGGAGAGGGGGAGAGGGATTTTACGTTGATTGTAGCAAAATGAGGCGACTGTTTTTTTTCAAGTTATAGGAAGAACAGCCTAAGAAACACTTGGATTGTACACGTGTCAGCATCAGAGGGAAATCCTGAATATATTTGTTGTAATCATTATTTCAAATTCACATTTTTTTTATTACCGTTTAATATTTTTTTATTAAGAAATACAATAATGATTACATAAATGGTAATTAAATATTTCAATTTAAATTAAATTCCATTTCTGTTTTTTCAATATCATATTCTTTGAAATAACTACAAACAAAAAGGGATTTATCTGTAAATGAAAATTAATAATTATAAATAATCTTATCAATACTATATAAAAAGGCAAAATATTAAAAAATTATAAAAGAAATTTGATTTAATTCATGTAATAAAATTATTTTTTAATTAATTTAACAAAGTTGTAGAATTTTTTTGTTGTATACTCATTTTAACTGATAATTTATTGATTTTGTAACATTTGATTATGTAGATACTTATTTATGAAATTATATGAAAGGATTATAAAATGACTGATTTTCATGGATTATAAGTTGTTGTCACTTCTAATAAGTATTAGATTTGGTATTCTATTACAAGATTTGCATGCTGTTTAATACGGGTTTTAATATATTCGTGTTCATTCATGTTTCTTAGATGATATTTATGTCGGACGACTGTTAATCTTGTAAATACATTGAATTTCCGTAATTAATAACATCAGCTCTAACCCTAAAATCAAAATTTGACCGTCCTTTGTTTGTGGTTGGTGTTCCAACGTAAATCTATTCACGGTAATGATTAGATCTTCATGATCATAGAATAGTATCATATTTTATCCATGCATTATAATATTTAACTTAAGAGTTATTTACGTTTTTCTCAAAAGTACAGGTATAGAACAAGATGATTAAACGTGAACACCAGATAATTCAATTTGGCCGTTGCTTCATAATTAAGCAAAAAAAGACGATGTTTAATGGTTGGATAAATAGACCATTAAGATCATTAAATAAATAATAAACAACCTTCGTCTCAATTTCTAATCTATGCTATATTTTGTTCAATGTTAAAGAGCTTCTTTTCAAGGCATGTTCCTGGTCGTGCAGTTCGTGTGACCGCACAAGGCATCAGAACCTCAAGGAACGTCGAATTTTTATGTGTTATTAGCTTTGTTCCTCATCCCTTCTCATTCGACTGTTTTGATTTCTTCGGCGTGATGATGAGCCACCTAGCTTGACTAGGTCTTTTTTGCTTAAAAAATCAGCAGGAGGACATTTTTAACATGCTCGTAAAGAACATCATAAGCCCTAGGACCAACCATGTTCCTTATCGATTACAACGAGATTCAATTTTAAAAATCCACGTACATCCTAATGGTATGCATGAAACGATAGTGTGGTTCTAGACTCTAGCTAGCTACGTTTAGAAAATGTCGGTGCTCTTTTTTTACAACTCATCAGTTGAGGTGTACGATGACATGAAATTTTGTTTAGGACCTTATTTGCATTAGAAAAAACGGATGATTAGAAGATTTATAGATTCTCGAAATCTCAACGTATCTAATAAACTATGTTCACAATTGCGAGTGGACAACATATCTTATTGATCATAAATATCTATGTGTTTACCAAGTAGTAATAAAACTTGCATGGTAGATCTGTAAAGAATTGACATGATTTTACATCTAGATCTGTATTGTTCATGTAATTTAAATGCATACCATTGTTATGGATTTTTGTCTTTGAGGTAATCGAGTGTTGCAAGAGTACAATTTCCTATTAGTAACTGCAACTAGTAATTTGTCTATTGATTTTATATATCAAATCTAATGTAAATAATTTTGTCAAGTCTGTACTTTTAAAAAAATATTATGTTAATTTATAGTTACCATTTCAGTGTAAATGTAAATTTATGTTACTGTTTATGATATCTTAGTTCAAACTTGTTGATGTTATTCTTGTATAAACGCAACAACTAAAATTTAGTTGATTAAAATTTTAATATACCATTTAAACAAGAAATTGATACACACACACACACACACACACACACACATATATATATATATATATAGGGGCTCGTCCAAGGGATAATTGATTAGTTTGTGGTAACCGTGAAATCTAATCTCAACCACAAATCAATAGATAAATTAGAAAATTTATAATTTTGGTAATTTTTAATTAAAATTTTAATGCAAGGACATTTTAGGTATTTTCTCTCCTCTCTCCTCTCTTCTCTCTCCGTCTCCGTCTTCCGGCCTCCGGCCACCATCCTCCGATGATACCACAGTGTGATATTCAAGCACATATAAGATGCATTGTGATATCACTGTGTTACATATACGATTGACCACACAAACGACCTCAGTGTGATACCCAATCACGTATAAGATGCATTGTAATACCACTGTGGTATCACCGGAGGACAGTGGCCGGAGGCCGGGGGACAGAGGACGGGAGACAGAGAGAGAAGAGAGGAGAGAAAATACCTAAAATGTCATTGCATTAAAATTTTAATTAAAATTTATCAAAATTATAAATTTCCTAACTTATCAATTGATTTGTGGTTGATATTAGACCTCACGGTACCACAAACTAATTAGTTCTCATTTGATTAGGCATATATATATATATATATATATATAAAGATATCAATTCTCTAGATGAGGAAAAATCCCCAATTTCATAGCGAGGATCCCCATTCTTCGATAGGAAGGGAGATGAAATCTTATTCCTCGACGGGAATGGTGATGAGGATGGGGACTGGGATCGAGGATGGTCTACGTACCCTGATCTTGTTGCCATCTCTATAGAGAAGAAAGATCGTAACAACAAAAAGTTCAAGAATTTACTTATCAAAAACTTGATTACTTAAATTAGAAAGTTTGTTAAAAGAATTTGATTTTTTCTCTTTAAACACATTTTTTGTTATAGCATCTCTAGTATCTATACTACATTATAAAGCATTTAACAAAAACTCTTAAAAACCATTTTTTATGCATAAATTACTGTATATTGATGCATATTACTTAAAATTCAAGATTATAAGTAAATTATGCATAAGTACAATTTATTAAAACTTCATGTTTGAATTCGTGTAACTAAATGCGGATAAAAATAATCAAATAGAGAATAAACATTTCATTTTAAATATAAAAAATCCAAAACATAATTAAGATAATCATTAAGTTCTAACAGAATACTTAATTATTATCTTAAATAAATTATTTTATTAAACCAAAAATAAATTAGTTCATTTTTTAACTTCAGTTAAATTATAATAAAAAATTAAATTAAAGAAATTACACAAAAATAAAAACTTTTAAATAGTTAATTTGATATTAATATTGCTTTTTTTTTCAAAAATTTATAATATCTTCAAATTTATATTTCATTAAAAAATAAAAATATTTTTTTGTCAAAACCACATAAAGTCGCATTATAATATCGATAGACCCAAAATATAAAACGAAACAATAAAATCAAAATGTATCTCGGTGCATTGTGTTGCGCGAATACCCTTCTAGTAATTTCCAAAAAAAGTAAATAAAGATTTTGAATTTTTTTTCTTATTCCAATAATTTTTTTTAATATTTTCAAAATGAGAAAATATCATATATATTTAAAAACAAATCTTTAAAATTAAATCTTAGGTGTAAGAGAAGATTTTACTAATTATTTTTATTTATTTTGGAAAAGAGAAAATAATAAGAGAGAAACTTATTTTATGAAAAATATATTTTAAAATATACTGGGTATTAAATACATTAAATATTTTAATGATATAATTAATTTAAAAAAAACAAATAAAAAAAACTATTAAAGTTAATTGTATTCTCTAGGTTTTGTCTATTTTGATTTTTTTTTACCATTTATCATGATACAATTTTTAACACAATTTCTAAAGTGACACGTCAACTTTAGAAATTATCTAGAAATTACGCTCCACTACAATAATTTCTATTCAATTTCTTAACTTTATGTTCTTGAATTTGAGAAGAAAATAAATTAAAGGGAAGGAAATAATTCTTTTATTTGTGTTCTAGAGAAGGAAGGGAAGGGAAAGAAAAATAATAGGAGAGAAAAAGACCAAATATGTCATTTTTACAAATATAGTTTTATGTATTTTTCAATAGGTTATAATTGATGAGTAGATGCTTAACTTTATAAACAATTATAATTGTTTTTATTTATTTTCTTTTCTTTCCTTTCTTTTCTTAACTTTATAAACAATTAAATTAAATATTTTTTAATTTAGTTAATGACTTTATAATGTGATTTATTTATTTTGGTGGATCTCATTTATTAAGTGTGTGTGTTTCTCGTCGATCGGTACCATTGTTTTTCTCTATAAAAAAAATTCCAAATAAATTATATGCCTTTTGTGTATAAGTTTTTAGTTTTTCGAGTTTTTTTTTTATGTTAAATTTATTCACAACTGTTACATTTGTTTATTCTCCCTCATACTTTCTAATTGATATTAATGTTGGTACAACAATTGTTCTTCTTCCATAAAAAATTTATAATAATTTGTGTGGTTTGCATGTAATATATATGTGGTTGTTAATAAGTTCTGGTTTTTCATTTGGAGTTTTTAGCAGTTGTTGCTTTTATTCTTCATCTTTCATAATTTTCGTGCGTGTTTTATGTGGGGTTTGTTTATCCGATTTTGTTTTGACCATATTGTTGTAGTTTCTTAATGTTTATTTTTTATTTTCTCATGACAACTATCAAACTCCAAAGTGTGATTTATGTGGATTTTTAACTTTTTGTTTTTTGTTGAAATTATCTTCTCTATCTTTTATGTATTTATAGTTTATTAATTTATAATTTTTTAATCTATCTATATCTATACTATATTATAAAGCATTTGGCAAAAACTCTTAAAAATTATTTTTTATGCATAAAGTAATGTTTATTAATGCATATTACTTAAAACTCAAGATTACAAGTAGATTGTGCGTAAGTACAATTTATTAAAGCTCCATATCTAAATTTGTGTAACTATCTGCAGATAAACATAATTAAATACAGGATAAACATCTCATTTTAAATATAAAAAATCTAAAATATAATTAGGATAATTATTGAGTTATAACATAATACTTAATTATATTTTTATTAATGCAAGGACATTTTAGGTATTTTCTCTCCTCTCTCCTCTCTTCTCTCTCCGTCTCCGTCTTCCGGCCTCCGGCCACCATCCTCCGATGATACCACAGTGTGATATTCAAGCACATATAAGATGCATTGTGATATCACTGTGTTACATATACGATTGACCACACAAACGACCTCAGTGTGATACCCAATCACGTATAAGATGCATTGTAATACCACTGTGGTATCACCGGAGGACAGTGGCCGGAGGCCGGGGGACAGAGGACGGGAGACAGAGAGAGAAGAGAGGAGAGAAAATACCTAAAATGTCATTGCATTAAAATTTTAATTAAAATTTATCAAAATTATAAATTTCCTAACTTATCAATTGATTTGTGGTTGATATTAGACCTCACGGTACCACAAACTAATTAGTTCTCATTTGATTAGGCATATATATATATATATATATATATAAAGATATCAATTCTCTAGATGAGGAAAAATCCCCAATTTCATAGCGAGGATCCCCATTCTTCGATAGGAAGGGAGATGAAATCTTATTCCTCGACGGGAATGGTGATGAGGATGGGGACTGGGATCGAGGATGGTCTACGTACCCTGATCTTGTTGCCATCTCTATAGAGAAGAAAGATCGTAACAACAAAAAGTTCAAGAATTTACTTATCAAAAACTTGATTACTTAAATTAGAAAGTTTGTTAAAAGAATTTGATTTTTTCTCTTTAAACACATTTTTTGTTATAGCATCTCTAGTATCTATACTACATTATAAAGCATTTAACAAAAACTCTTAAAAACCATTTTTTATGCATAAANTAAACTTAAATTAAATTATAATAAAAAATAAATTAAAGAAATTATATAAAAAATAAGAAGTTTTAAATAGTTGATTTGATATTAACATTGATATATTCTTTTTTAAAATTTTATGATATCTTTAAATTTATATTTTATTCCAAAATAAAATCATTATTGTTTTTTTAAAAACACATAAAATCGTATTATAACATCGACAGAGACAAAGAATAAATAGAGCATTAAAATCGAGATGTATCTCGCTGCATTGCGTGAATATCATTCTAGTAAATACAAATTGTGAAGTTGCTTACATGACAGAATGAGAAGCTTCAATTCACCTTTTCTATATTCCCATAATTTTGGATTTTTTTTAAATAAAAAACTTTTATGTTTAACTTTTAATTTAATCTCTCATTTTCTTTATTACTTTATATTATTTTTATTTACATAATACGAAGACATCAACAAATATAATTTCTATTTGTCTAACATTTTTTTGATTTTATTAAATATATATATACACACACACATACATAGACTTGGGATCATGAGAGACTAAAGGTTTTTCGTGAGACCCGTAAGATCAATTCTCAACCCTTAGATTAGATTTACAATTTGAACATTCATAGTCACAAAATTGCCACGAGACTTTTCAATAATCACAAAATTGCCACCATGCAACTTTAGACCATTAGATCATTAGCTTATAAAGTTGATCAATGAACATAAATTGGTCTTACGGGTCTCACGAAAAACCTTTGATCTCACGTAAACCTAACCCCACATATATATATGTATATATATATATATATATATATAATTATTGATGAACTTACATTACAACTAAGTAACAGAAATAAAGATTTTAATCCTATAAACTTAATTAACAAATGTTGGATTCATTAAATAAATTTTTTGATTATATAAAAAAATTAATAAAATTAAAAAATGTTTAGACAGATAGAAATTATATTTGTCTATATATATGTATATGTATGTTTGTGTATATATAAGCAAAATGTGTAGTTCTTTAGATGGTATCATTGGTCATTAATATTAATTAATAGTGTTCGTTTTGAGAACCTTGAAGTCAAATTATAATACAAATTGTATAGTTCAACCGTCGAATTCATATAGTTATGCAAATGATACTTGCTACTTTTTGATTTTTCCATCATCTGCACTTATTTACAATATTACTTCACACTATCAATGTTATTGTTAGTTTGGTTATTGAATTTTATTATTTGTTATAGTAGTACTGCATATGTTAAATCAAATATATATATAATCACTTGATAATCTTTTAGATACTATTATATTTCTAGTTGTTTCATAATCACGGGTTATCATATTATTGGATTTGTTATTTTTATGAATACTATTGGTAAGTTTATAACTTAAAACCCATATAATATATTATAATTGTTATTTTTATATATGAAATAAACAAATAAAAAAAATAGCATAGTCATCTCATGCCAGACAAACCACAATATTGTTTTGATTATAGTTGATATACATGTATTCAAAAAGAGGAGCTGCTAATATAAGATGTACATGTTTGTTGTGGTCGTAAATCAATACATTGGTAATAAGTAATCTTATAGTATTTTGGAACTATAACTTTTACCATGCATGTGGTTTGATTAATTTATCAACTTTATATCAGTTTTTGTATCCATTTGTTTTAAAATATATCATTTAATAGTAACTTAAGTAGTAGATAATTAAACTTGATTGTTACTAATAATTTTCATCATACAACATGTTTCATAACATTATATATTGATTAAATAAGTTTGAAACCAATCTTTATAAACCAAATTTGACAATAGTAATTATTTTGAACTCGCAATTTCAATACTGTAAATATTACACATAAACTTGCAATATAGTCCACTTGAAAGTAGATTTTAAAAAATAAACAAGTAAAATAAAATATACATTTTTAATATCCGCGTAACTCATGAACTGAACACTATTTTTTTTCATAAAAAAACTCTGAGAACACAGTGTAAATGATATCTCATCATAAAAAACTATCTTTTAATCAAATAACAATAAAAGTGCGGTTATTATAATTTAATAATAGAATAATCTATTAACTAAATTTTTTATAAAATAAAATAAATTAATTAAATAAATGT